TTGTCCTTAATTCCAAACAAGCCATACCATGTTGTGTTTCTCGGAGTGCCCCCTAGTGGCACAGCGGTATGTCTACGAACTTACAACGCTAGAAACCGGGTTTTGATACAATGTTAACAAGAAAAGAATCTTGTCTCTCGAACTTAAGAAGCGTTTAACACTCCACAACTTGGTTGAGCATGTTTTGAAATAGACGATATTTCCCTAATAAGCATAAGATATTGTCGTTAGGCCTATCACATTTTTAAACACTACATTTTTTTATCTAGTGCCTTAGGAATTTTCAAAAATTAGATGTGTTTAATAATATATATATATTTCAACCACACTACGTTTGTCATATCCATTGCCGACGACGCGAATGTAGTATTTGAAAATGTAATAGGCCTAACACTAGGGTTTTATAACAAGTAAATACGTATCGTTACTAACAACTGGTGTTGTTTTGATGTATATTTGAAACCAAAATGTAATAAAAGAAACATTGTTAAGTTATACATTATAATAGCATTCCCTTGCTTCAGTTTTTTTGTTCTTTTTAAATATAGATGTCAGAAACATTAATTTAGTTTTTCAGTAAGTAAAAACGTCCCTACAATATGCAAAAGATTAAAAAAGAAAAAGGCCTTTTGTATTAAGGGTAACTTACGTGTGTGTTTTAAATAGGATAACCCATTCACAGCACAGAAATCTTAATGGTGTTGAGAGTACGAAACGGTATTTCACTACCATTTGAAACAACCATTATGAATCTCCACTAAACAACAAGTTAAAAAACGACCCCGAATGTTAAACACTTCAACCGTTCAGTAATTAAAAGGCCGTTTCGGGATTTTGAACAGGCTGTGAAGAAATGAAAATAGTATCCGTTAATCTGAAACCGACGGAGTCCATCGCGCGTGAAATTAACGGCAGAAACACGATGCTAATGCAGGTTTGTTGTAGAAATTAAAAGGTACACAAAAGACTTCAACTAATGGGTCCTTCTTAGGTTCTTTCATTTTAAGACGACAACGTGAAACCTTGCCTTCATTCCACAAAGGATATCAATGAAGGTGGAAAAAACGTTTATTGAACAAGGAAAATATTAGTTTCTGCATTAAGAGTGTAGATTTGTTGGACAGAAAAGAACCTTGAGTACTGTCACTACTTTAGTTTGTGTTTGTTTGTTTTTGAATTTAGCAGTATAAGACTAGAGGGAAGGCAGCTAGTCATCACCACCCACCGCCAACTCTTGGGCTACTTTTTTACCAACGAATAGTGGGATTGACCGTCACATTATAACGCCCTCTCAAACTGTCAGAAGTCTGTTAATAGGGAAACTCTTCAGTCTCAGGAAACTAGTGGATAATAGGTTACGGATAGGGTGAAGAACAACAGTAAACGGAACAAACTGTCAGAAGTCTGATAATAGGGAAACTCTTCAGTCTCAGGAAACTAGTTTTTCTAATATCAGACTCGTGACACACACACACACATATATAAAGCTTTTGTCCTCTAGATTTGGACTGAATTGATTAGTCCTAGTGACGAGTTCAATTTTTTTTTCTTATTTTAATCCTGCCACACACAAGCATAGCTAGCTGTTTCGAGTGCATGCCATCCATACACTACAAAGATAACATGTCAGTATGCTCTTTCATCGACGCTATGTTTTTCTACATAAATTTTCAGACTAATGTAATTTAAGTCTGTGATCTTTGCCGAATCTGATGGAATGTTGACGTCATCATCTCAGTCGATTCTAATATCCTGGATCTCTTTGAATTTACTGCTGTTTTAAGATATGACAATCCAGTGAACTGTTTTTCATTAATCATGGGCTATAATACTCACTCGCTAATGTGTTATAGCCTAATCCATGTATTTAAGTTTTGGCTTCATTCCCAAGTCATTTGATTTGAAATAACGTCATATGCTTGCCTCCCTTTATTAGTGTGTTGTATACGTCAGTTTATTTGTGCGTTTGTCAGTTTTCTTTCGCCGTGAACATTTTATCATGGACCACAGCTTGATGGACCACAGCTGAAAAGTACACGTTGATGCAGATATATTCTACTTGGAATAAAAATTCAGATATTTTATAAACTGAAAGAAGAGGAACGATTATAACAAAAAATGTGCTTTACTTTCAAATTACCGACTTATTTTTATACCGTTCACTTCCGGTGGTTGTACATCGTGTTCATCACTTCCGGTGGTTGTACATTGTGTTCATCACTTCCGGTGGTTGTACATTGTGTTCATCACTTCCGGTGGTTGTACATTGTGTTCATCACTTCCGGTGGTTGTACATCGTGTTCATCACTTCCGGTGGTTGTGCATCGTGTTCAATAATTTTGCGCTTTTCACCTGTTATAGTACTCACTGTACAAAAGTAAACACGCTGATTCAAAGGGCAACAATACTACTAAGAGAGATTCATTATAATTAATGTTGCCCTCCGATGACAAAGCAGCGAGACTGAGGATTTATAACGCCAAAAATCGGAGTTCTATGCCCGCGGTGGGCAGATCTTTGGGTAGCTTTGTGCTTAACATCAACAACCGTCTTACATGTTATTATTGACCCTGTAATCAACAAAGTCATTGGCCCACATAAACTCTCGTGCATAAATAGTTTAGGTAAATGTATTAATAAAAAATAGTGGGACCGAAAGTTGATTAGTTACTAACAGTAATATTCGTGTGCATGTGTGCTTCTTTATAGAGATCTGGAGGCATTATCCCCCTAAATGGTGCGTTTTGAAGGAGAAGAGTAGCACAGTAAGAAGGCTTAACGTAAGTGAATAAACACAGATATAGATATTTATATCATGATACAATGTGACATCAGTTTACATACAGAGATGTTGAAGAATTGACATATAAACAATGAAACTTAATATCATGTCTCCGCTACACGACAAGCAAACAGACCACAGAAGCCGGGTGGGGGACCCTAGTCTTCTCAATTTGTGGACACAGTTCGATTGTATATTTCAAAACTTGAGAGAAAGCGTTCGAACAGAATCATGAAACATCTGAAAAAGCAGAAGACACTACTAAGGTTACTTCTACAGTTTCAAACTCAAGTCATCTCAACTGGCAAAGATCGTTACTGAGCTACATAGGCCAAGCACGACCTGGTGGTTAGGGCCCTGGCATGGCCTGGTGGTCACGGGTTCCAATCCCGTCACCGAATATGCTCAACCCCACTATTCGTTGGTGAAAGAGTGGCCCCTAGAGTTGGCGATGGGGGGTGTTGACTAGCTATCTTCCCTCTAGCTTTGCGCGAAATTCAACAAACAAACAAAGCGAGCCACATTCTTCTAAGGAGTGTTAGCTTTAATGCTGAATGTTCTAAGAATTCGATATTCTGAAAACGTTTGGTTGTACTTTGATTATTTATTGTTTTCATGTGCTCAGAAAATTCCTATTTAAAAGTCATGTCTTCTTGTTTCTGATATTAGCTGTCCATTCGATAAGTTTCAAAAGCCATCCAGCTTCTTAAGTTGAAAGGAATCCATCAGGGTTACTTGCCATCTTGTGACAGAACAACCATTTGGCGGCGCTGTCAGTTAAATAAGATCTATTGAAGTCGATCGAGTTAGCTGTTATTCATGATCGTTTCTGGAATCAGTGTGCTGTTTGATCGTCAATGAAGATTAGCTGGTCGCTTGCCCCTCGCTTGATGTGGTCTCTGCACGTATGTTCGTACCATTACTATACATATTGTTTTGTGTCAAGCATATGTTATATATATGTATGTGTATATAGTAGTGTAACAATAAACATTATTGGGTATACCCCCCAAAATATTTGCTCTGGACCGAGGGGGTGAAACAAGGTATTAATATGGGTAACATTCATAGTCAAAACGTGAATCTTGTCACGTCTGTTAATATTTTTCATTAAGGAAACGCCTAAATAGTGGGAACTATTAGGCCTAATGTCTGTGAGAAAGGGTCACGCTTGACGTTTCTACAACACAGGAATTATTTTTTCGTTTCAAATATTCGTACATATATATACACAAGGACTAACTGAGCTAGCCTTTCCTAATTTTTGAACTGACAGATTAGAGGGAAAGCAGTCAACAGTACCCACCGCCAACTCTTGGGCTAATCTAATCGGAGAGTGAAATTTGAGCCTGACACTTATAACGCATCCTGGCCCTAAAATTCATAGCGCGATGCTTGCGTCAACGGGACGCGAAGCTAGACCTTCGGATCTATAATCCTGGTCAAGATTCTCCGGTAATATTGTGTATGAAGTTTTAATTAGGTCTCGTAAGCTTCAACGAGCGGTTCTGTTCTTCAACATGAGTCTATAATATTTACTCAAATGTTCATAATCTATCACTTGCTGCTTAACTGATGCCTATTTCACAATTAAGGAGAGTGTATTCGTTATCAAGAGTGTTGGATGATTACTGACGTGTTTTACTTTTGTTAAGAAAGTACACAGAACGATGACGTCACAGACTTGGCACGAGACCTACACTTAACATCAACACAGAGATATATAAAATAGTTCTGAACCACGTAACACAGAGATATGTAAAATAATTCCGAACCACGTGACACAGAAATATGTAAAATAGTTCTGAACCACGTAACACAGAGATATGTAAAATAGTTCCGAACCACGTAACACAGAAATATGTAAAATAGTTCCGAACCACGTAACACAGAGATATGTAAAATAGTTCCGAACCACGTAACACAGAGATATATAAAATAGTTCCGAACCACTTAACACAGAGATATATATAAAATAGTTCTGAACCACGTAACACAGAGAACCACGTAACTGCCTATCAAATATTGTAAGATTGTTTTGTTTTATTTCTTATTTTTCTTGAAACTGAGAAGAACCTTGAAACAAGATAACACTGTTGTCCGCTTTGCACGAGTGATAACTTATTGTGGTTCCGTGACGTAAGCCAAATGTTTCCTCATTTTCTTCCTTCCAAGTTTCGTCCAGCTTAAGGCGATCAGATGACGTTCAACTGCTTTTATTACTGAACAGATATTTTAAAACGCAACCACATAAATCACCAGATGATATCCGGCTTCTAAGTAATTAAAACCGAAACTAAAACTATTTAACTACGTACGGAATTATGTGTGGTACGGAAATCAAATCAGTCTGATGTATAAAACTATAAAAATTGGCCTAACGCATGTGTGAAACTGCTGTGAAGGATCTGTAGTCATATGTGAATTACTGGGGAGTTTGTGTAAAGACAGGTGTGAATTAATAGAATATGTTGTGTGTGTGAAATATTAGAGTATGCGTCACAATGTGAAACTACCAGACCATGTGTTGAAATGTACGTGTGAAACTTTGTGACTGTGTGTGTCAAGATTTACGTGTGAAACTACCAGAATAAATCTTGAAGTAACGTAATGGTTGACGTACATCAGTAAGTAAATCTTGAAGTAACGTAATGGTTGACGTGCATCAGTAAGTAAATCTTGAAGTAACTTAATGGTTGACGTACATCAGTAAGTAAATCTTGAAGTAACGTAATGGTTGACGTACATCAGTAAATACATCTTGAAATAACGTAATGGTTGACGTACATCAGTAAATACATCTTGAAATAACGTAATGGTTGACGTACATCAGTAAGTAAGTCGTGAAGTAACGTAATGGTTGACGTACATCAGTAAGTAAACACGTAACGGCTAATAAATATATATATATATAAACAAAATGAACTTTCAGCAAATTAAAATGGGGATAACTGTGGCGGAATTAGTTATTATAATTATTTTTATAAACAAATAAATGTATGCTTACTCCAGAGAAAAATAGATACTTTCGTAAACCAATAACTGCTTTTCTTACCATATCCCTCCGCTCGATCTGTGCTTGTTTTTATTTTTACTCATGTCTGTCATTTCATTATCGGTGCTTACTATAGCAAAGCTGGTAATTTGTTTTTGCCCCCTAGTGGTAAAGCGATAAGTCTGAAGCATTAAAACGCTAAAAAAGTGGGTCTCGATAGCGTGGTGGAAAGAGCACAGACAGCCTGTTGGGTAGCTTTGTGTTGAACTACTCACAAATATATATATATATATATATATTTCTGCAATTGTTGTAATAACAAACAAAAAAGTTTTATTAAACCGTTCCTGTTTTCAAAATGTCACTAAAATCTGTCTTTTTCACCCTTTGTCTAAACATTTTAAACGTCTAAACGTGTTGCCGACGTCAGACCGGCTATTACTTAGTAGTTAGTGTGGGTTGACCGCGAATCCGAGGATTCATGGTTCATGACCCGTTTACGCAAATTTGCAGTGAGTACTATGAGGCCGTAGTTAGGATATAAGAATGACAGTCAATTATAATTATTCGATCACACAAGGGTAGCCCAATAGTTGGCGGTGGGTGCTTTTGTCTAACTAGCACAACTAGATCTTGTGGAGGTTTGTGTGAACTTCTGAAACAAACAACAACAACGAAAATAGTTTTCTACATCATGATTACTTGTTTCAAATGGATCTTTGGCAACGGTTCGAGTCCCGTTAGTTTTCATATAACCTTTGAACCCATTTTATTTTTCCTCGTCTCGAATATCTCATTTCTCAGATCCCTCTGTTTTAGTTTGTTTTTCTTTATCATACCCCATTTTAGTGAGAGTTTTTTTTTGAGATGACGCCAGGTGAATACTGGCGAAACGTCGAGTCCAATCGACTTTGTTATCTCCACCAAGTACTGCTGATTTTCTATTTTTATCAAATATATTATGTTTGAATACATGGACCGCCCCCTATGTTTACTAGAAACGGTGTTCCTCCCTCAACTTTCGTCACCTGATGACGCCAGGTGAATACTGGCGAAACGTCGAGTCAAATCGACTTTGTTATCTCCACCAAGTACTGCTGGTTTTCTATTTTTATTAAATATATTTTGTTTGAATACATGGACCGCCCCTATGTCGCAAGGTGCTATCGAGGAAGTCAGTATTGATTTTTTTTTAACCTAATGGAAAACAGTTGATGTCCAGTAAACCTATCAGATGAAGCTATTCTGAGGTTATGGCCAATACAAAAATATAAACAGCCGAGAGAAGAGGTTACGAATGTGTTTATGTGATTCAAGTAAATATAAATAAAAATCAGTTAATACATCTTTTCTGTTCTAATGAATATGTCTGTTAACCCTATTAATAAGCTTTCAAAACCTGATATAATATTTAAGAAGGGTGATTGGGAAGAGGGTTTTTATAACCGGGTGAGGGGACCGATAAGTTGGATTCTCTTGGAACTGAAGACATAAAAATTGGTTGTGAAATCTACACGGGTTTCAATCAGGAGATCCAAGAATATACAGTTTTAAATTGTGTGGAGGATATACAGAGATAGTAGTTTAAATTGTGTAGAGGATATACAGAGATAGTTGTTTAAATTGTGTAGAGGATATACAGAGATAGTTGTTTAAATTGTGTAGAGGATATACAGAGATAGTTG